GTTTTTTTCAGCTACCGCCAAGCCTTGTCATCCGTCTCCTACTCCACTATCTCCGCAACTTCTTTATTTCCATCTCTCTGCCTCTTCCGCTCTTTTACGGGAGTCTACTGACTCGCTCACCATCTCCTTGTTTCACTTTACCCGTTACTCAATTTCTCTCTCTCCCTTTCATTTTCTCTTTCTATCTACTTTTCTCTCACTCTTTTTCTCTCTCTCTCTCTCTTTCACAGAGTCTCCCCCTCCTCACTTTCTTTCCTCCTCTCACTTTCTTTCCCCCACTCCCTGTTATTCTTCCTTCAGTTTCTGTTGGTCTCTCTCGCACCATCTTACTTCCTTTCTCTCTAAATATCTGTTATCTCTTTCTATTACTCTCCTCTCTCCCTTGCGAATACATGTAAATCGCATACAAAAGCGCTATAGCGTTTACATTCCGACACACATCAATCAATATCAATATATAATTTAATAAATTTTGTTCCCCAGGCAATTCAAAATGCTGTTATAAACTCGTTTTATACTCAGAAATAATGAAAATCAGGGTATATTGACTGTGCCAGAATGTATGTAACAGCTAGAAGAAGGCATGGCCTGAGAATTAAAATGTGCTAAAAAACGTTTAACTTTATAGATATATGTTTATAGCAGCAACAGAGAGAGCGGAGGGAGCGTACAGGGTATCGGTTGGTCGGGCACATTTCCAAATGCTTTTTATTTTTGGGTCAGGGGTGGAGCTGAATTGAATGAAGTTCCCAGCGAGGCCATTAATTAAATATTTTTGCCATACTGCAGTAAATGTGGTCAAACGTAAAGCATTCAAATTAAAATGCTTCAATATTTATACAAATTAAAATCTATGTAAAATGCAAAGTTAACATTATTGATGTTGTTGTAGTTGTTGGTGCTTGTTGCCTGTCTGAATGTTGGGCAAATATTTGATGGTCCATGAGAAATGTTCTCATTAAATACTTATGCCAATTAGATATATTTGCAAATGCCAAAATAATGTAAATAGACAAACACAGAGAAGAGAGAGAGTCAGAGTGTGAGAGAGAGAAGACAATTACTGTTATGTTTAGCAATTTTGAGCTTTTGAATTCATTCAGCACTTTGATTGAAATTTCAAAGATTTTAATTATACATTTTGTTTATTTACAAAATGAAATACCAAAAGATTCATAAGCAATTTGCAGATTCCATAATTAAACAATCGAAAAGATGTTTCTCTTTTTTTCAAAGCATACCGAGCTTATATATATACACATATATATACATACATATATCAGTATATATATAAAATCGATATATTGCAGTCCCCATGGACAACTCACGTTGAACAGCGTTTTCAGCTCGTAAAGCTGACATAAAAACTCAAATTGGTTTGTTTAACAACCAGTTAGAGATATGACTAATAAAATGGAACATAAAAGTTAAATATTCTAGAATTGCTTTTTTCATACAACAATATACTGCATACATATTGAAGAACTCAGGCCTGAGAGAGAAGAAAAGTAAAACACGAGAGTTTCATAACTGAATAAAGATGTGAGTAGGCTATGATGAAATTTCAATATATAAATTTGAATTATTGTTATCTACATATTAATTTAATAAACAAATTTTACGAATTTCATATGAATATGAGAAGAAAATAAGAATGAGAGATGGATATAGAGACAGTATAAGAGATACAGATATAAAACGAGATATATATAGAGGGAGAGAGGAATAAAGAAAGGGACATATATGAATATACATAATAAGAGGTTATTCATACATTTGATTATCGATTTCATGTGACGGCTGCAGTTATCGATAATTTGACTGTTACTATAAGATTTCTTGCCCAATTATATATGTATATAACTTTTAACAGCCATAGACTAAAATGCGTTTATCCTAATTAGTAAACCGGAATATAAATACCGTAATATCAATCATCGTCCACTCGCAAAACTCTTCTACTTTGTATAAGAGACATTTATTTATTGCCCAAGTTTCTGTTTTCCATCATTTCTTGATAGAGTAGTTTTCTTGCTATCGCGCTGTTTAATAAATGACCTAAAATGACTTTTTTTGTGTAGCTCTCTGACTGTTTGTGGACCCCTTTGCCTTCGCGAGTGTAATAAGCTCACTAAATATTTAACTGCGCTATTTAATCTTAAATCGTTTTAATTGCCAAGCTGAACTTTCGCAGTCATTAGCAAGTTCCCGGCAAGGGCAGCCTGCCCAGACTCCAGTTGCTCCTGGACTCCAGTTCCAATGCATTGCTGATGCGAACTACTGTAGAAGCTGTAATTGTAACATTTACCGTTAGTGCCAGCGAGCGAGGGAGAGAGAGGGAGAGGAAGAGGGAGTGTAAAATGTGGCTTATAATTGGGCTCCGGAGAGGCGTTGAATCGTTGAGGCGACGATGCGTGTTGTTCAGTTGGCAGCCCAAGTGCCAACCAGTTGCCTTAGAGGCAAAAGCGAGGACGAGGGGGAGTGAGGAGGGATGAGGAGCAGGCAGAGGAGTAGGAGTGCGAGAGTAGGGAAGTGCCTGCAGCAACTGACTGCTTAATTTGTTGCACTTCAACGGAATCTGTCGAACGAGTGAGAGGGAGAGAGCGAGAGAGTGAGAGAAAGTGAGAGAGGCAGATGTAGAGCACAGTCAATCATGTTTTTTCTTTTAACCCGAGTTGATTGCGGCAAGCGAGCGAAGGGGCGGGTGGGCAATGGAAGAGAAGAATGAAGAGTGAAGTACTGCAGCGTATGGCAGCCATTTTGTAATTTGTAATAACCGCATTCCCATGGGATAACAAATTGAAATTTGTTTAGTGGTAGTCCACTTAGAGATACCCTGTACAGATGCTAACCAGCAACATTAATTATTTAATTATAATTTTTCAAGACTAGTAAGTGCCTAAAAGTTAATGAATGCCAAAAACTATATTATATTATAAAATAAAAAACATTAGCAGGAAATAAGTCTACACATTGTATGTTGGTAATCAGGCTTTAAGCATCCGGTAAAAAAGTTAGCTCGTAGTCTAGGGCAGTAAATTCATTTCTTTAGAACCAATTAGCCATTTTTTATATATTATTACCTATTCATATATTATTTAGATTGTAGCCGAAGGCCATCAAATTCAATTTATAATCAGTAACTTTTAATAAATTGTTATGCATTTTACTACCAGTATATACCCTGTTAAATAGTCCGACTATGGTAGGAAGGAATTTTGTAATTTATATTTATGGAATACCAAAGGATGCCCCTTGTGTTTTAAAGGTATGCGAGGCAAATAGAAAATACCCTATACTATATATTAAATACAAGCTGTAGCTAATGCTGCTGTTAATGCGAAGCTAGCTAGACAAGAGTAAATACTGTGCAAAGGGAAAACATCTCAACTTCTGTCATTCAATTCCAAAATGTCCTAACTTGGCGTGTAGTCCGTTCCACGGCATAATGCGCCATAAAACTGCAACATTGTTACAGAGAAGCAGTGCCAACTGTCTGTAACTGCAGAGAAAAGTCGCTCAGAGACGCTGAAACAGGACTCAGGAGAGACAGAGATAGAGACAGAGAGAGGGAGACCTCCCAGCGAAAGAGCTTAATAAAACGAAAGCAGTCAGGTAAAATAACGCAAGTCAAGGGAATACCTATGCAATGATGATTGCCTGACTTAACAAGCTGCATGGCAACCATTAAATGTGACTGACTAGTAGATACTCTGCACTTAATTCTGATATACGTGGCGTATGGTTTAACATAATTCAAAACCCCTTTAAAATAATTAAATAGAGTTCCTAGAAATATTTCAATCAATTCGTGGCTTAAATGAAGTTGGCCCCAAAGCCATTCAGCTGCCAAATCCCGTTAAAAGCTGACAAGGGTGAAAGCCGTTTGTCTGTCCGTGACGTAAAAGGATATACTCGAATGGACGGCACTCGAATGATTTTGCAGAAGGAAATAAAAAAGGTTAGCTGAAAAAACCTCTTCAATTAGCTGAGTGCAACACGATTTAGAAATTCCCTCTGCTTGGTTAAATTTCAGCTGGAGTTTTTTTTTTACCTTCATTGTCTCGCCCTTTTCTATTACACCTGTGCCAATTGGCATACACCTGGCGGATGCCCGTCACAATTCCCTTTAACGACAATCGGCACAGTTATGTAAAGTAACAATACGCCTGTCCGTAGCTTCCGCAATTCCCACAACTTTCCAGCAGACATTTAGACACTTTTGTTGCCTAACAAGCGGCAAACGAACAATGAGACAATGCGACAAATTTTACAACATTCGCTTCACTGCGAATTGTATAATTCATTTCGACTATGCATACAAATTGAAATTTTTTTTTTACATATTGAATACTGGGTGTACATAACAAATATAATATCCAGGATTATAAGGGTTTTCTATTTAAAGATCTTAGCTATCAATATTCTCTTTGCTTAATGCGTGATCTCGAGATTCTTTGATCTCGACTAAACTATTTCATTCACTTGATTATTAATATATATAACAATATAATAATATGTATATGTAGAACCATACTTGCATTTATTTGTAGAAAAAGAAATTATCAAAGTTTCATTAGGTTTGGTTTGATTATAGCTTAGCTCATATTCCATCAAAATTACAATGAGAGATAGACAGCTCAACTTCTCTATTTAAATGGAACTAAGCCTTAGAGATTTTCATAGAGAAGTTCTAAATGACAAATTTCATATTTCCTTTAAAAGATGTTTTTGGACTTATAAAATGAATTCAAAGAGCTCTCTGCTGTTTAGGGTCTTTAGCTTTACAATTTAAGAGCATACGTTTGGACAGCTCGTATTCTCGTAGAAAATAATAAAGCATATATATATTCAATATTCAATATTCCCCTAAAAAATTTTTAATGAATTATAGCAAACCATTTGAATAGCTTAAAACTCTTTTGAAAACCTTTCAGCTATAATTAATTTGCAGAGCTCATTTTACAGAAATTCAAATATATATAGAACTCAGGACTTACCTATATTAACAATGCCATGATTGGTTAGTTCCCAGCATGACTGTAAGCGTAATATGCTCAAACTGTGACTTTGCTTTGGCGAGAAGTAGCCCAGGGCAGCATCTGTGACATGGTAAGCCTGTAATTTAATTAAATATGAGACCATGTTCCACACACTGTCACTCACACACACACACACACACACAGCCACACATTGTGCTGGTAAAACTTGCCTGGAGCGAGAATTCGTAAAGGGAAGGCAGCAGCTGAGCCACAGCTCCAACCGCCTCATCCGCAATGTTGATGCAGTCCGCCAGCGACAAGGACACTATTCGGGGCGTCAGGCAGGCCCAGAGGCCCGCCTCGGTGACCTCATTGCAGCCAGCCAGCTCAAGTTCAAACAGACTCTGCAATTGTCATCATATTCAGTTAGATATATACATATATATAGATGTGTGTAGTAGCTTGGCTTTGTCATTTCTTGTTTGTTATTTGGTATTTCGTATTTATGTTTTATGCGAGTTTGGTTTAGTTTTTAATTAAAAACAAGCTGTGCAAAAAACATTTATAGAGGATAGATGCTGGGGAGATTATTTTATTTTCTTCTTTTTCAAAATGAAAATTAACGGAATAACAATTTACAACAAAATTACTTTTCGTCTAAAGAATTTAAGTATATATAAATATACTGTGAGTAAATATATAAATTATCATACATATAAAATAAAAGTGACTTTAAAAGCAAATAAATTATATAGTAAAAAAAAAGTATAAATNGTTCCAAGATTTCACAATCGAAAAAATAGAAAGACAAAAAACACTGACAGGTGTAGGCAGTCGACAGGTTTTGGCAACGCCCCGACTTCAGTCTTAACTGAGCGTGGCGCCCTAACGAACGTACTTATTTAGCTGTCTATAAGGTTGGTAGTGCTGTAAAGTGATATGGGAATAAAATATATATAAATATATGTGGCTGATAAGAAATTGCTGATGATATCATCAAGTGAAAAAATGGTTTCGAAATAAGAATTTGACAGTGAAAAAACTGAGAATTAAATTTAAAATTATTTACTTTTAATGCTTTATGATTAAATTTCAAGAAATTTTGTTTAACCTTTGTTAACAGAAAGTTTCTTTGAATTTGGAAGACTCCAGAGAAAATTTTCTTATAAACTTAAACAAATAGGTTTAGGGTTTTTTTTCGAATTCTGTGTAAACCGACAATAAGCCTATAGTATAAATATAAATATATAAATATATAAAGTTTTCTTGTGCGCTACTTATTAAAAATATTCCACAAGTAATACGCACCATAAAATCTAATAAGGGCCAAAACTTAGCTGGACTTATGTGTCATAAAGCTGACTTCGCACTTTTCATAAGTTTATAATGTTTTCAACAGCTCGGGCATGAGACATGCCATCAGAGACACGGACAATGCTTGAAAATTGTTTCAACTTTGACCTTTGGCTGGGAAAAACAATTGCAGGCAAACAATTTCACATTTCACATTTCACAATGAATGGTCCGACCCACATTGCGTGCCCAGACAATATGTCGCGGACTCTTCGATCTGACTAGTCACCGTTTTGTTATTGTCGTTATGGCTCTGGAGTCGGTAACGCTTCTTGGCGACACTCGAGAACTTTTGCTCGTGGAGCGTGGCACACAAGAGAAGCCAACAACAAGTAAAAACAACAACGAACCACAACATTTCAAATCAAAGGACAATAGCAATAAAGTCGCTCAGCAAAGTGAAAACATGACGCAAAACCTAAAGAGGAAATGCGAGGAAATCGAGCAAAATGCGAAAATCCACATGGAAAACAAGAGGGAAAAGAAATACGTTTAAGGACATATAGAAAGAAAAAAAAAATAATAATAATAAGAGAGCTGAACTGAACTGGAGAAACCCACAAACTTTTATCGTTAACTACATCAACAATTAGACGACACAAATAAAGCTGTTGTTGTTGTTGGTATTATGTATTCCAGCCATCTTTGTGTATATCAAATGTCCGTTATGAGAAATGACCTTTAGTTTGACTTCTTATAATTAGGATTATTATATAGGACTGGACTTGATTATGAATAAATGTTGAGTAAGTTGAGTTCATTAGCATTCCTGAAAGAAGTAGGAAATTACTTAAAGAGTGACTTTTTATATTCCCTCCCTAAGGGTAAAGAGAGTTTATTTGTTCTGGATAAAGTCCACTTTGATTAACGTCTATCTGCTAAGTTGTTCATCTGATTGAATCATTTTAAATATGTGCTCATAAATGGCGCTTTCCTATGAAGCTCTAAGATATTTTCAAGATTCTCGCATCGGAAATATATGATATTCCTCACAGCGCTGAAGATGCTAGAAATTCCTAGGAACTATCTGTTTACATATTCGAAGTTATTATATTATATTCAAAGTTATTTATATAAGTGAGTATTTATTAAGTATATATACTAAATACTTTATTCCATCATAATACAAGATGAGCTTAAATACCATTTATCGTATACCATTTCACTTAGCTTCCTTTCAATTATACGACGTACATAAATAACTAGCATGTATGAATAAATAAATATGATATACGGCCAGCCTTGTCCCTCCCTCTGTCTCTCTTCCAGTCGGAATTGTCTCTTTAATTATGCATTCATTTAGTCATTCATTCATAGTGCTGGCTAAGAACATGATCGTATAAGTGGCTATCTGATAAATCTTATGGCTATTATGCTGATATGCAAATAGCCTTTAATTAGTTTCCAGCTAATTGACGTACGTATACACCACGCCCCCTCGCTCCACCTCCCCACTTCCCCTTACCTATGCCTTTGGAAATGACTTCATTGTTAATGGGGAAAATGGTTTGGGCATCAGCAGCTTTTTGCTTTTTTATGGCAAAAACTTTTCTTTTTTCCTCAATTTTTGTTGTTGTTTTCCCAGCTGGTTGGCAACACATACGTATCCAGGGTAAACTTTTTTACATGTCAGCCGCAAAATCAATAAACCGCAAAGCCACATTGAGATGTTCCCGAGATAGAAGCCTTTTTTTTTGTATTCATAGTTTAAATAAATCTTCCTTAAGTAATATTTTCGCTTAGCTTAAGCCAAAGTAAATAAATAAAAAGGGTTTTTTAGTCCCATAAAGATTCACAAGAAAACAAATATATCAAATAGTTTTTTTGCACTTTTTATCTACAAAGAAAGTTGAAATATTTGATTTGTGGAAATTTCGACTTCTTTCATATTTTTATACCCAAATAGCGAATCCCTTAATGTGCAAAACTCAAGCCTGAAATTGATAAAACCAAAAATTAAGTAGAATTGTAATTGGAATTTGAATTCTAATAAAAGTTCTTGTAACTAAAGCATATGTTGAAAAATATTACATGTACATACATATATATATGAAAATTTTTTAATTCGTATATTTCAAATCATTTGAAAAATAGGAAAAAAAAAATATTGTGCCTTACTTCATTTACTTGTAGTATATMTATTTGATTTATTTTTCGTATTTTGTTTCAATTGTATTTACATGTATACAAATATGAAAATATTTTTAAATATGTATAATTAAAATAATATAAAGATAAAATTGAAACAAAGTTTTACATATTTCATTTTATTTAAATTTTAATATTTTAAAAAGTACTTATGTACTTTGTACGTATATTTATTTGATTAAATTTTTTATTTTTTGTTTATTTCCATTTTTATGCAAGTGCAATGGAGTGCAGATAGTGTCTACTGTATCTACACACACTCGTGAATATTTGGTATAACTGAGTTAATTCGACTCTAACTCCAAGTTGAGTGTCTCAACAACTATTTCTAGAATATCTAGTTAGCGCGTGTCATCGTTTATGGGTCAACTGGGTTCAACAGCGCGCAAGCTTGAGCAGTTGGCAATGCGGAAATAACGTATACGCCGTGTGTGCTACGAAGGCAATCGCCAACTGAGGGCCCATTAAACGGGTATGCAACGGCAACGGCAGCAGCAGCAGCAGCAGCAGCAGCAGCAGCAGCAGAGCCAGCGAATGCTGTCGCATTTCCGTCGCAATTTTCATGCCATGAATGATTGGGAATTCTTAATGCAAAGCCAAAGTTTTGTAGGGTCGCAGATGCATTAGGCGCATTGCGTTCATTCCCCAAGGTCAAATATGCTTTACACATATACATACATATATAATATATATACATTTATGTAAATTTGCGGTATTTGAAATATACTACTATAAGCTACACACACACACACACGCACGCACACACAGGCAACTATGTGTGCCATTCTTGTTGACATTTCCAGCGACAACAATTTGCAATCAGCAACAAACGAGGCCCATGAACATGACATGCATTCACATTGAATTAACAACGACATTGCAGATTGACACGCAGTCTGACTGACTGACTGACTGACTGACGAACTGGCTAAGCACGTGAGTGACTGAGTGACTGACTGATTGACAGAGCCACAAACATGAGCAGCTGGCATGGAGTGTGCGGCCATTCCCTCAACTGGGCTCCCCCAGCGCCCACTCATTATTCACTTTACTCATGTGCGTCAACCACGGCCACTGCCACGCCCACGCCTACGCACTACCCTACTGCAGGGCGCCTAGCGAATTAATCTGGAGGCTTGCTTAGAACTCTGAACAGAGTTTGGGAGTTGAGTTAAGCTGAACTGAAGTGAGTTGAGGGCAGTAATTAGAGCAACTAATTGGATTTGTCATTCGACTTAAGATTAAAATAAATAAATTAATAAAAGCATTCACATGTCGAGAAAAATATGAAGTAAGAATAATGCTAAAAGTTTGCTGAAATAAAAGTAATCATGTGACAAATTCGTATTTGTGAAACTGTGCCATAGGACAAAAACTAAGAAAATTTCTTAAGGGGGAACTCTGGAACTAAAAATAGATATTCTTACACGAAATCTATTAGCCTATGAATGTGAATACTTATTATTGTCTGTAAATGTTAATATAATTTCCTATTAGGATGGATTGAAAATAAATTCAACCCGATAAAGGAACTCTAGTATATGTCCATAATTTATGTTACTACAATAATTGGGGAATTAGATATTTATAATGATGAGATTTTATAATATTTTTAAATAACTCAACTAACTTTTATTCATATCGATCAAAACACTTTTGAGGCTGAGCTTGAAGATCATTAAAGCTAAATAAACCCGGAATATTTAAAATTTTGGATGCTTTACTCCATTTAACATCATAAATTACATATTTCTAGGTATATTACTATGCTCCTTACATACCTATATATTTCATTGGGACGCTATGCAAATATTAATCAAAATCGTCTATTCAGAACAGAAGATATTCAATAATGTATATGACAGAAATAGGTAGAGCAGATATAAAGAAATACAAATGTTAATTTCGTATCTATAGAAAAACTAAGTACGCTAAGTACACAACTAAATAGAACAGTAGTATAAATTAGTTTAGGGTACATACTAGTCGAGCACTCCCACCTAGAGCACTCCGGCTTGTTTATTTCTTTTTCGTTTAAGCAGCCTTGAGGCTAGGCTATAAAATTGCGAAGAATTTAACAATTGCTCGGGCAATTGGTTAATAATACCTGCTACACTTAATCTAAATAAAACATTTCGAATTCCAAATAAATACCATTTCATCTACCTGCCTAGCTGAGCGCTTTAGAATTCTGGCCTCATAAATATTGCTAAAAATTCATTTCATTTTATTTAACGCAGCTCATAAAAGATTCAACAAGCGAAACGCGCTAATTACAATTATATATTCTATATACGTAAATATATATATTCTATATATACATGTTTATATATATTTATGCTCATTCGTTTCAGTGCAATATTTTTTAGTAAATTAACCAAAATTTATGGCGCTGCCTTTGATGTGATTTTCGCTCTCAATTGATCGCATCAACTCGTTAAGAGATCGGAAAAGCGGAAAGGCATATAGAAATTATCACACAATTTGCAATTACCTAGCGACGCCCCCTCTAACCCTTCCACCTCTTCGCACCTGCTGCAGCGTATGTGACACACTTTTGCGTTCAACACGTTTCACTTAAATAAGATCGAGCAAAGTTTGTTTTTCAGTTTCGTTTGCCGGTCAGGAATTTTTCAAGATTTATTTTCGTTTAGGCCGTGCGCCGTGTGACTGACCATCATCAACGTGAATGTTGTCTCTCTCTCTCTCTCTTTCTATTTGTCCATCTCTCTCTCTCTCTCTGTATCTCTCTATGTCTGTTTCTCTCTCTATATATCTCTCTGTGTCCATTTCTCTTTCTCTCCCTCATTTTCTCTTTCTCACTGTCTCTGTGTCTTTCCCTCTCGCTCTCTGTCACTTAAATTTCCTTTCTATATATATATCTCGCTCTCTTTCTCTGGCGAAATGCCCACGGTCATGGGAAAATGCTGAAGCTGATGCTGGGCATCACAATTTGACTGACACATATGACAGCAGACGATGATAAACACACCAAATATATCTATATAAGCTCTATAAGTATAAGTTGTCTCAAAGAAAAATGTCTTAGGAAAACATTCGTACAGTGAAATCAATTTGTTATTCTTAAAAAGAAACAAAGCAGCAGGAGAATGAATTACAAATATCGACTGAAATCATTAACAAATTATAATGTTTATCACTATAAAATAGACAACATGAAGACTGCTTTATATGGTATATATAAATACTGCGAAATATTATTGAACTCAGAGGAAAATAAAATAAAAAACGAAATGTACAAAAAAAAATAATTAAAAAATATATATATATTTGTATTTGTTTCATAGGCAGGTCAGGAATTTTTAGAATATTATATTACTTATAGAAATAGAAATATATACTAAATTAATAATATTTAACTCTTCAGTCTTCTCATGCCCTTCAACTCACCTGCAAGTGATCCAATAGAGTTTCGAGTCCCCGATCGCTGATCGAGGAGCAGCGAAGGCTGAGCGAGTGGACGTGCTTGGAGGCCAGCGGAAAGGAGTGGACAACATCGAGAGCATCCTCGTCGGAGGCGCCGACCAGGCCGAGCGCATGGAAACCGCGTCGAATAAGCGAGGTGTAGAGCTTGCCCCGGTCGCAGGCGGTCATCTGGCGGAGCTCGCGGCACTGCAGCGTGGGCAGCAGCCCGGACCAGTAGCGTGGACTGCGGTACAGTATGTCCCGCCACTTGATGCACACCTGGGCGAGCACGCGCCGCTCGTACGGCGAAAAGTATTGGAAAAAGCGATTCAGAAAGCGATCGTCCAGCATCAGGGCGTCGATGCTCTGCATATGTGGCGGGTGCTTGTGGAGGATTAGCGCGGATAGCGGCTGGGTAACTGTGCCAGGCAGCTGATTGGGCGCAGCCACTGCGCCATAGGGATGATGCAAGTGGGGATTGGGCAGCTGTTTGCGCATCTGCAGCGGCGTGCCACCGCCGGCGACCTTCTGTGCCGCGACCATGCCCATTGTGCTGAAGGTGGGCGAGCCGGGCGCTGGAATCTGGATGTTCATCTGCTTGGCAATCGATTTGACAGTGGGAGTGGGCGGAGCACCTAACGGCATATTGCTAGGCGGCGCAGGTACACCAGCTGGCATTACCAGGTGATGATTGGAGTTAATCAACGTGGAGCCTGCCATTGCCTGCAGCTGCTGCTGCTGTTGTTGCTGTTGTTGTTGCTGCTGCTGCTGTTGCTGTTGCATTAGATGCGCGGGACTGTGAGGCAGACTGGGATTAACGGACGCCAATTGCTGCGCCTGCTGTTGTGTACTTGTCAGGGAAATGAGCGTGGCAGCGCCTTGGCTGCCCCGCGACGGCTTATCTGGCGTTTGCGGCGAATTCACAGAGCCGGGCACGCCGGCGTTTGAGCTGTTGCTATTGGTATTGGTATTTGAGTTGGAGTTGGAGCTGGAATTGGAGCTCGAATTCGAATTGGAATTCGAATTGCTGCCGCCACAGAGCGCATTGGTCACACGCTCCATTACTGAGGTTTTGCCGCTGGACGAGGTGGCACTGGATGTGGAATTAGAGGAAGCGTTGTCGCCGCCGCTGCTGCTGCTACTGTTGTTGCTGTTGCTGCCATGATGGTGTTTTGAGCGTAATCCCAGTCCGTTTATGCGTTTCGATAATTCCGCGGAGGCTCTCTCGACCACGCCCTGAGCCGAGATCGATGACATTGTATGCTGAAACAAATTCACTTTGTCCCACTCGCTCGCACGCACTCAGAGACGATAACAGAACGTTTCTTCTAGATGACGCTCTCTCCTGCTCTCTCTCTCTCTGTCTCTTTCTCTCTCCCTCCGTCTGTCCTTTACATAGCGTGCAGTTGCAACATGTTCGACTATTTGGGCGTTGACCTTGTTTCGACGTTCTCACGCTCTATCTCCCTCTCACTTTAGCAACTGCAAGCAAAGAAGAAAAAAGAGCTTTTATGCAGTTTACCGTTAGGTCTTTGTTACGGCCCAGCGCACGAAGCGAACAGGCGCGAGGCAAAAACGCAAATCAGCGCAAATTTATGTTCCACATTCATTAAGTGTTTTATGTGTAGTTGTTGTTGTTGCTGCTGCTACTGCTGCTGCTGGCATTGCACGCTAGCGGCCATATCCTATTCATCATTTTCTATCCACCTATTCGCCCACTCGCCAATCCGCCATTTCGCCCTTTCGGCATTCGCGATTTGTTGTGGCTGCGCAAAACTTCAGCGATAAAGCGAATGTCGAAAAAAGTAACGGCAATTGATATAGAACTATGCCAAGGTAATTGCACAATGACTTTAAAGAGGGCGACTCAGGTTCCTTGAACTACCACAGGGTGGCTCAAGTGAAAAGTTATTTAACAGTTCACGAAGAGTTTTGCAATCGAATTAGTTAAATATTAAAATATTTTTGCTCTCATTTACAATTGTATTTTCCTATTTGTAATTCATTTGCAGTAATTAAATTGCAGCGCGAACGTCGCCACCTAGCTGAATTTATTATTTTAGCCAAGGCTGGCTATTCAATTAGCCAAATGGCCAAGTCGGATGCCAACAACTTTTCAACATTCAACAACTGGCAACAACAACAACAATAATAACAATACTGTGCAGCAAGGACAATGCGAGTATTTTCAACAAACGATTTGACGATGTCTGAAAACTTTTTTAACTCTGAACTGCAAACGAATTTCATTAATAACAGTTTCAGGAATAGTGAAAACTTTGAGTGTTATGAATAAAGAATCTGATTTGTTAATTGGAGATTGTAGAAGTCCTACAAATGAGCTGCATTTAAAACTGGAATAAATCTCCATCGGCTTAAATGCAGAGAATGGAAGACGATGGAAAATCTAATAACTATCAAGGAAATTTGGGAAATATATATAGTTTATAAACTACAGCATTGCTATAGCACTTCACTTTTCGTACAATCGCCCTAGCTCCATCATTTTCTATGACATAAGAGAATGAGATATTAGCTTTTCTCTCTAAAATCAATTCCTTTAGTTTGCAATTTTATAAAAAAAAAAATAGGATGCTTTAGAACACAGGTTTTTCACATGTTAAACTCGAATCTAAAATTAAAATTGTTGTTTTATAACGTAACATAATAGGGGAAAAGAAGATACTCAGGAATAATTCAGATCCAAGATATTAGTGCTACGTAATTGCTTTTAAATCATGCTTTATGTACAAAGAAAGAGACTAGCCAATAGAGTGTTTTAAATTGAAAAAGGTTGAATAGCCTTTTAGTAAACTCAAATACTTTTTAAAGTCCCTTAATGAAAGTAATAAATTCTTGGTTACTAAATCATGTTGGCCTGCGTCAGCTTTGAAACTTGGAAGCGAATAAATAATTTAATATTCTCTCAAAGAGTTTAATCATGTTTTATGCTTTGTACATATCTGAAGCAAAAAGCTCTAAATATTTATTACAATAAAATTCTCGAGTACTTTCTAGCATGAATGTTAAATTTAAATTGTTGGCAAGGACTAAAGAAACAATTCAAAAGGCTTTGTCGTGCATCTGTGCCAAGAGTGTGTTATGTATGTATATCTGCGTATATACACCTCTCTCTGGGTGTGTGTGTGTGTATGTCAGACGTGTGCTGCAATTTAAAAACTTAACCTGCTTCCAATCTCAGTCAAATGGGGTTATTAAAAAAGAAAAAGAGAAAGAGAAAAGTAAGCTGGGGTAGGCGTCTGCGCAAAATGCTCATTAGGGGAGAACAAAGGAACTGAGCTTGAAAGACAATTTAATTGCCATAAATATGGGGCCTTTTTATGTCTCGCTTTCGCATTCCACTTCCGCTCTCGTCTGCGCCCCGCCCCGCCCCACTGAAGGTGAACGTCTCGCTGCAGCGTCATCCTCTTGACTATGACCCCATCATCGTCCTCCTTCTCGTCGTCTTTATCGTTTCTCGCCGCTCTTGACTTGGCTCAAGCAGCTCAAATCTTTTCGTTTGCCTTATCGCTGTCCTTCGGCCCGTGAGTCGAACAAAACAAAGGCGGCTCACGCTGACATCCCAGGAGGGGGGAACGAGGCCGAGGTCGGGAGTTGGGATGTGACATTGTTCTCTGTGACTTCCTGGTCGTTGTGGGTGCCTTCAATGACGAGCTATGTCCTTTGTCTAGTAAACTATTTCATCTCAAGTCCGTCTGCAGCGCGTCTCCCATTCATGACCTATCGAACAAAGTTTGGTTGGCAAGGCCAACCTTTGTTCCGGCGCAAAACAAAAACTTCGAATGCCTTCCCGCATATCTTCTTTATTCATTAATTCGCAATCAGCACAGCTGTGCGTGCTAAACAAATTTTGACTTTGGGTTTCATATATCCAAAGTCATGCAGGAAAAGCTAATCAAATATAAAGTTTCAGTTTTTGCATAATTGCTATGAAAGTTATGAGAAAGTTTCACTATTTTCTGTGCTGATATGAAAGTAATTAATGCAGAAATATTTCACGAATATCAAAAAGTTGCGTAGATTTTAAACCCACACTTATTAGCATTCATCCAGCGAAAAAAAGTTTTTAGAACTGCGACACAAGCAAAAGTTGACTGCAATTACGACTCAACATTCTGAGTTGAATTTGACATTTTGGCAACGATATTATTTGGTCAGCAGCAGCTGCTGTGCCAACGGCTGTGGCATGTGCTTATTAGGCGCCACGGGGCATGCAACTGAGATCAGGCGAAACTTTCCACCACAAGCCCGAAACAAGTTGCATACTGTGCGGCGCAGTTGAAGCCCGTTGAATGTGAATGTCAGCTTAAATATATATATGAATGTGATTGTCAACAGCCAAAGGCAGCCGCAGTAGCATCTGCTCTAAACTTATTGGGGTATGCATATGCACGAGTGTAAGTGCGGTTGTGTGTGTGTGTGTCTCGTCCGTACCTATTAAATTTATTTTTTTTTGCGCTTTGTAAGCATTTTCCGCCGCTTGGCTGTGTCTATTTTTGGAGTTGGTTCAAGTCGAGTTGAGTTGCTGTTGTTGCTACTATTTTTGTTGTTGTTGTTGTTACTGTTGTAGTTGTTGCGGCTTTTGTTGTTGTCTCGCGTGCTTCGTGCCCTCTGCTTATTGGATTTTACTGCTTTGGCGGGTACTTCGTCGAGTAACGGTAACTACCGCACGCTTTAAATCGCTGTGCTGTGTGTCAGGGCCTGCTCCACATCTAAGCCCACAAACACCCTTCCCTCCCCTGCCCATCCCCTATATTCCAGGCGCTTTGCTAGTATTTGTATGCGTGCTGCGCCAGCTACATATATCGATTTTCGTCCTGCTCTCTTTTTTTTGTTCTTTTGCTCAAATGCGCTTTGATCTAAGCGATGAAAACAAAATAAATCTTTCGTTTGACAGGCACAAAGTAAATGACAATCCATTAAATTGCTAAACAAAGGGTAAATTTGCCGCTTATGGAGAGTAATGTTTATCAAGCTATATTTAATGCATGTTCAGGTAGCAATTATTATATATATTTTTTAAATAAATTATTTTATTATACTAAATATGATTATATCTTGTGATTAATTTCTTAGATTCTCTGTTAACGATGCTAGTAATCGATATCTAATAATTGTTATCGAAACAAAATACATTTCTAATAATTTAAGGAAGAAATCTAAGTAAAAATTAAATACAGATTTTCTTATAGTTTTGAAGTTATTTTCATTAGGTAATTTATAAAAGGTTATTAATATTTTGAGCTAAAAGAAGAACAAGTTCCCAGCATATATCCTTTAGCATATTAAGCATAAAAGTATGCTGTAAAAATTGTTCAATGATTTCATAATAGCTCACTCAAATCACAAACATTTACCATCAGTTGTTATAATCGAATATGTTTATATGTTTGTACAGCATGCTGGAGTAGGTGTTGACTCAATGCAAACTTGACATTGTCAATAGAGTGTCCTAACGAGAAACAGCTGCGCATGGTCCATTGTTGGGGGCTTTAACTGGATGTCCCGCTGCTATCAATATAGGCTGTGATTCATGCAACACATGGCAGCTGTGCGTCAGCGTCAGTGCCTGGAAGTGGGTCAAACTATGCAACTTTGACCCGATTTCGTTGCCTTTGCCAATATACACGGCCAATGGGCAATATATGAACAAGATTATAAACTCGATTTTAAACGCTCCTCTATATTTTGCGACCAGGTGCCGCTCCTAAAGAGGCAACTGAGCTAACCAAGAGTCGCGCCGCAGTGTCTAAAGTCCTTTATTATATTATGGGTGGATGTCGCTGCTATGACATCACAAGCTCTAAGCGGGTGGACAAGCGGGTGAGCGGACGAGCCACCCCGCAAGGCGGTGGGTGGCGTTAAGTGCCCGGCTAACATGTTCGGGGGTTGCAAAGAGCAGCTCAAACTCAAAGATGGAGGCCTATGAGGGAAGGTGGATGGCGTAGAATGCTACTGCGTGGAGCCGAGTGAAAAGCAGCAGACAAAGCGAAAGCAAACAAATCACGTGCAGCTCAAATGTGGAAACAACACAAAACTACAATACGATTCGAAATAACTTACAATTTATTTATTTTTAATTTTTTAATGAATTTACGCACCTTTTCTAATTTATAAATTTTGTTATATATTTTGTTTCTTTATTTTTTAATATTCTACAGCTTGTCTCGCGCAATAAAAATCAATTTTTACAAGCGTCGCGACGTGTTTTTGTTTTTAATGGTTTCTTCGCTGCTTTACTTTTTATTTTCAGTTTTCTTTTTTTGTGCCTCGCTGCTTTCGGGCTTTTGACCGACGAAAAGTAAAAAAAAAACTATACTGTGAGCAATGAGTTTTTAGTGAAAACTGCAGAAAATCTCAAAATGCCTAGCAGCAAATTGTTTGGGGAAACCGCAAAAACATTCACACAACTATTTGCACGTTTTTGTTTGTTGTTTGTTTGTTTGTTTGTTTGAGTGGTAAATGTGTGGAGCGCCGTGAACAAAATAATTTAACGGAAAATTGGTCAACCGAGCGGAAGCGCGCACGACTCATAACTGCAGGCGACTGCTGTCTGCGAAAGTGGGAAAGTGTGAAAGCTCAGCGACGAGAGCGTAAGCAGTTGAGCATGAGAGCGAAAGCAATATAATAATAAGGAACGTGCGCAATCTCTCGGCGCTCTCTCGACTCCTGCACGAATATGAGCTTTCGACATGAGCGTAGTTAAGTGCTCTTGTTGGAGACAATGTCCACAAATGAAACGATTATTTACTCAACATTTATACAGACAACGCCACTGAATACTGACTTTGTTATTGTTGCGTGCTGTGAGAGAGGATGCGCAATGCAGTTATTGAAGTAAACATGTGCAAATACACCCCCACATTGGCTCTCTCGCTCAGTCTTCTTTTGTTTGAGCAAGAGGAAGTTTTTTGCTTGCCAAACATTATTTATATTACATATTACAAATAGCAAAAGGTTTTATGTTATACAACTAATTTAAAAATAAAAAAATATTATTTTTATTCAAATATGAGCTGAAGCTATATATGTACATTATGAAATATTTTATTTATAAACTTAACAGGTTATCATATTTAATAATTATTAAATTCCGTCATTATGTACATACATATGTACATGAACACATCTAACCCTAAGCTAAAATCCTTGCACAAATCCAACAAGTCGTTCGCGTACTACTTCTTTGTTTAGCCATGCGTTGTACTTAATATTTCATGCTCTGCTGTCTGCGCTCTTTTATTTTGTATGCAAACTTTACCGTGCGCTTCTGTGCATTACGCCGTAATCCTTCATAATACGCTCTGACGCACAAATATATGTATGACTTTTGCTTCGATTCAACTGCAGACAGATTTTTTGCTTAAGCCAGTTATTGTACGGTTTCTTTAGTCCTAAAAGGTTCTTTAAGATATTAAAACGTCAGATTAACTTAAATTAAGTCGATTTACGAATGTCTAAAGCTCATTATAAAGATAAGCATTACACAAGCTTTACTTTTTCTTTGCATAAATTTCACACATTATTTAAAAACTCGCGCTCACACGTTTCAATACGCCACGCTTTGCTCGATAACATATCGATATATTAGCGTTGGTATTTTCGTGAGCATAACATTAACCTTTTGCATTTTCCAGCACTTACTTGCGGTCCAAGGAATGCAAATGAGAATGGTAAAGAAGAAGAGTTAACTAATACAGCACGACTATTGCTGTTGTTAGAAATAAAATATGTCTTCAACTTCGGCGGCTGCATCAAATGCAGCGCCAGCAAAACCAGAAGTAAGATACGTCACAGAAGTGCCCAGCAGTCTGAAACAGTTGGCACGCCTCGTCGTCCGAGGCTTTTACTCGCAGGAGGACGCGCTCATCATAGACATGCTTGTGCGGAATCCCTGCATGAAGGAAGACGACATTGGCGAACTGCTGCGGTTCGAAAAGAAACAGCTGCGTGCGCGAATCACGACACTACGCACCGACAAGTTCATACAGATACGCCTGAAAATGGAAACTGGGCCGGATGGCAAGGCCCAGAAGGTCAACTACTACTTCATCAACTATAAGACGTTCGTAAACGTAGTCAAGTACAAGTTGGACTTGATGCGCAAGCGAATGGAAACCGAGGAGCGGGATGCGACCAGTCGCGCCAGTTTTAAGTGCTCCACGTGCTCCAAAACATTCACAGATCTCGAGGCAGACCAGCTCTTTGACATGGCCACATGTGAGTTCCGGTGTACATATTGTGGCAGCTCCGTGGAAGAGGACAGTGCGGCCATGCCAAAGAAGGATTCACGCCTGATGCTGGCACACTTTAACGAGCAGCTGCAACCGCTTTACGATCTGCTACGCGAGGTGGAGGGCATTAAGCTGGCACCGGAAGTGCTCGAACCGGAGCCCGTGGACATAGACACGATTCGCGGCATTACTAAGCCGAACGCCCAGCGTCCCGACAGTCTGCAATGGTCGGGCGAGGCGACGCGCAACCAAGGCTTTGCCGTCGAGGAGACACGAGTGGACGTCACCATCGGCGGCGATGACAGCAGCGAAGCTGTCGTCGAGCGGAAGTCACGGCCCATATGGATGACGGAGAGCACTGTGATAACGGATGGAGATGCAACCGATGGCAGCGCTCACGCTGACGCCGCTCAGTCGTCGAGCACATCTGGGCCTCGCAATAAGAAGGAGAATGAGGACATCATGTCGGTGCTGCTGCAGCACGAGAAGCAACCTGGGCAACGAGAGGCGCATATGAAGGGGATGCGGAAAGGCTCCTCAAATGCCAATTCAAGTGATTCCAGCGACGATGAGAATGATATTGACAACACCAAGATACGTAAGTCCACTTCCGCTGTATCCAATCTTGTCATCTTCATTTGCTTTAATTGATGATTCCTTTTAGCGAATGTCGACTTTGACAATTATATCAACTCGGAGTCAGAGGAAGAGGATGACGATGTGCCCACGGTCCTGGTGGCGGGACGTCCACATCCGTTGGATCAGCTGGACGACAAACTCATTGCACAGATGACACCGCAAGAAAAGGAGAACTATATACATGTTTATCAGCAGCACTATAGCCATATATACGACTGATCCTACGATCCTGCTCCCAATTAGGCATTAGGTTTATAGAGTCAATATTAGCTTAAGAGTATTAAATTGTCGACGCATGACGTCCAGAAACAAAAACAACCAGTATCTGAATTACTCTGAGCCAGATTGGCGCCAAAACTGCTGGAAGATGGAGCCTCTACAGGCAATCAGCTGTTTGCTCTGCTATCGTTAACATTACGCTGTAAGTTTACATGTGAGCTACATGAAGTTGGCTGCGTATGTAAATTTCAGTCATGTTAACACTGCTGACTTTACCAGTCAGCTATTATCGGAATTTTTGTGTTTATGTTTCTTTTTACATTCGCATCCAAAGCATGTTCGCTATAGGTGTTGTGGGCGTATTTTGAACACATATGTGAACGTGTGTGTGCTCAAGATAAGCGGCCAGTGCAAACAGTAATTAAGATATACCCGTGTATAGAATATAACAATCCGTGCCAGTACATCGTCGCCGCTAGTTATTATTCTAATAAGACTCTTAGCCAACACGGAACGAATTGCGTGTGCCTACAGTAAATGTGATAGATCTTGAGTAGCATGGGATATGCTATGCTTACGCCTACAGACAAGTGTTTAATGTTAACACCTGCGAATTCATTCGGCATACAAGAAACGTGATCACACTTTACACACACACTCTGGCACACACTGACGTGCGAATGTAATCCAATCAGAAGTGCATGAAACGAAATTGCGCTTGAATTCTCGCTGATGAATTATGCGTGCCGCAGCTGTTTTCCTTAAATATACCGAGCAATTTAATTAAAGTGCGCGACAGTGTGAATCGAAGTGATTGCCAGCGATTCGGCAAACCATCATCATCGATCAGCCCAATTGGAATTGATGAATTGCTAATAGCCGGCCGAATTTAATTTAAGAATATAACAGAAAGATGAAGGCCTCAATTGATAAGGATTTGCTGCCTATGAAGGCACACTACTTTCTCTTCAATGCCGGTAAAGTATTTTACGTTATATTAACTAATCTCATTCAAATTACAACAGGCACGTTGAACAAGTTGAACCTGTTGATAAGAGTAGAACACATAACTGATAAGAAATTGACACATCATCTAGTTAAAGTGTAAATAAAGGGTGCATAGATATCAGAGATCTGATAAGAAGTACAATCAAAAATAAACGAAATATTTGCTTGATAATATGATTGGCAAAATGGTAATTGTTTAAACAATTAATATAATCAATTCAACTCTAGAAGCCTACACTGAGCGATAAATTAATTCACTTTGTGCAATTATTACGTACTATTATTATTACTTAAAACAGACCTGAATTATTTTTATTATTATTTTTAACAAAAGCTTGAATTTTAAATGACGTGTTTTACTTGAAGAACAATCGATCACAATCGAGAGAAGTTAGGTCTTAAAAAAAAACAACATGAACAAGACTCGAATTGAATTGACAGAATTTTCCATTGAACAATGAAACTAATTTTAATTTAATAGAAAATCGAAATGCTGAAATTTTAAATTAAGAACTTTTTCAGAACTTTTTTATCATTTGAAAATGTTCTTTTTTTTATATGTATATATATTTTTTGGTAACATGTTTTTTTATATTTATTTATTTATATACACCACTTTATCT